CCCCCCCCCCCCCCCCCACCTTGCAGGGGACAGCCTGGGAAAACAGGTGTGAGCACACGCGTGATGCAGTGACTATGCAGAGGGTGTGTCGGGCCGGGGAAGGGTCGGCTCAGCCTGGAGACTCATCCACCTGAGACTGGAAGTCCGGGGTGTGTGTGTGTGTGGTGTGTGTGTGCCTGTGTGCGTGTGTCCAGGGCGTAGTGCACGTTTACGAAAATGACATGCTTTTTTTTTTTTTTTTTTTTTTTTTAATATTTATCTTTGACAGAAAAGAACCGAGAACTAGGGATGGGTTACAGGTTGAAAAAGATGAAGCATTACCTCCAAAGTCCGGTCGCAAGCGAATGTCATATCCTTTGAGCAATCTGTCCACTGTCTCTTTCACGTATGACATGTTGCTGGGTTCATTGGCGCTGGAGGGAAGAAGTAGGGACCGAATTCAAAATGAGCACAACTGCGAGCAGACATAAAAAGATACAGGCACACCTACACTCAAATAGCAATATACATGATCCAACAGCAGGCATGTAAAAAGAAAAACACCAAGAAAAAAAGAGAGAGAGATTCAACAACAGCAGCTCACCTGTGTGCACAACAGACCATGGCAATCATCACAGGGAAAGAAAGAAGCCCCAAACTCTCTCGATTGTGTACTGTCCACATTACTAACTCTGATTAAAGAATTGTCTTTTCTGCGAAGATTCAAGGAATGCAACTTAGTCGGCTGCTGGGCAGTAATTCCCGAATGGACCTGCGCATGCGCAGAGGGTGCTCACTACCAAAAGACACCTTGTGCCTTGCAAACAATATTCCTAGTGGAACAGGCAACAGATTTCAATCCCTTTAAAGTTCCTGTTTGGAGTGCTCTGCGTCCTCCGGGTAGTCGGAGACACCTGCTGTTTCCATGCAGGGGATCCTACGTGCATATGTATACGGAGTTTTCTTAGTGCATTGGAGGTTGCTGTGTTCGTTTCTTTTCTGCCCTCAACCTCATTTTCTTTTTACTGAGCTGTCAGTGATCTGGCTAAGGCTGCTTGTGATTGGCATCTTTCGTTAACAGTCACGGAGGTCCTAGAACAGAGAATCTGGAGGCGGGGCTGTTCTTTGGTCGCGCGTGTGTGGGGGTGGGGTGGGGTGAGTCGGGGAGGGAGGAAGACAGGGGGAGGGAGGG